ACCTATTGAGTAACATTATCAAAGTTTTCCATAATAATTAAATTGTTTTTTTTTTATAAATTTTTATTTAGTTTTGGTAATTTTCTTATTCAAAGCCCCGCTGGAATACGATATGTTTTACACAATATCTTTGTTTTTAAATTAGTGATAGATACCAGTATTATTCGTTCTCTAAAACTGCTGCCATCCGGTTAAATGTCTAAATTTATCTAATAAAAGCTACAGGAAATATAACAGCATATATATCTATATCGACAAGTTAATTTTACGTAAATTGTCGAAAGTAATCGTAACACTTCCGTTAAAATTTAGAGAGTTTAGAGTTATCATTCCGTTTGCTCGTTTACACCAATTTAGAATAGAAGTAGTTATGCGTCTTTTAATTTATCTCATGGGCTACACTCTAGCTAATGTATTAGCTATTTTAGAAAGAGGTAAGTACCAAGTATTTGTGTAGGTACTAAATATTAATACTCTGTGTATATTTCGCACAGAACTTCGCTCAGATCGTCATAGGAGGTACTTGGGTTTAGGGAGAAGGTTTAAGGTAATTGTGGTATCCATTAGAGGGTGGTCAATTATTTTTAGTGCTAATTAATTCAGATTAACCGCCGATACCAGGAATGCGTAGGACCCGGCGATTTACCGGGACATTGCAAGCATCCCCTTTTTTGTGCTATGAATGTCGTCGGTTCGTCGAAAAATCCCGTCGAACATCTTTGTGTCATAGAAAAAACGTAAGCGATATCGAACCAAAAATGAATCTCGTAAAACTAATAAATAACTTTTACAAGGTTCGTGGGGGTTTGTTGTCCAGATGACATCTTGTTAAGTAATATAGTGGGTTCCCGAATTATTATGGACCTTCCTGCAGGAGGTGAAGATTACGATGAACAGCAAAATTTCACAATGGGTAAGAAGAAAAACACTTTTCTTTCTTGCTTATAAATTTGATAGTAATTACAATTACACACTGGCAACGAATTGAGCGAGTCAGTTAATCTGTAAAACTGCTGTTTACTCGTTTGCCAATTTTCAACGTCCCAACAATAAGTATCCTTAAAATAAGAACAATTTTAAAGCATTTGTTCGACCTCGTATATCTAAACTTTTTTAATAATTCCGAATGAAGTCGATCAAAATAACTTTTATCGAACTATCATATCAGAACATCTTCAGTTGTCCATTTTATTATATTTTCTCGTAAATAATTCAAAGTTAATAATAGAGTGTTCTCAAAATAACCTACGTGTAAGATTTTTTGTTCCGAATACTTCCAGACATCATTTACTCTTTACATTTTCAAACAACTTTTTCGTCTTTATATTATCACTGTAATAAAAGTAGAATATTGATAAATCTTAGGTTTTACTGGCAGTTTTTAGGATCTACCAACAAGAGCTGGTAAATGTAAGGGTTAATACAAAATGGACGATTTTTTTGAGTTTTATCATTCGAGTTTGGTACTTGCTAAGTTTTATAAATTACGATTAGTAAATATACACTTTGGCAATAATATAATCCACTTCATCATCATAATGTCGTCAGTCCTAAGACTGGTTGGACACGCACTTCCACTTTTTCCTATCCTAAATTAATATTCGCACTTTCCTAAAACAAGAACATCCCACCTCCTTGACTGTTTGTGAACAGTAATCTAATCTAGGTCTATCTCTACTCCTGTTAACTTCTGTTTCTGCTTCTAATATGTCTCCAATTAAGCTTACAATCGCATTTCTTCGTCAATCGTCGAGCATTTCTTTATGCAGTTGCATTTTTTTGAATTCTTGACCTATTGTCAAAGACAACTTTTTTCTTATTTTTTTATCTTATATCTTTTTTTTAATTTTTGTTTATTTTACATATCAAATAGCATTTTAAAAATGTTTTTTTTAACTTATTTAAGTAACTTGAGACATAACTTTAAAGTTTAATAAATTTCAATTTCAATATTTCTTTCTAAAAACCATGATTTTTTTCCATTCTTAATAACAACTTTTTGATTTCAAATACTACTGGAAATATTCTTTCACACTTTAAAATTTTTTCTTCCTTATTTCCTTACGTATTTTATGGACAACCCCCTTCACAAAAAACCGGAATATGAATCGATTTATATATATATTCTTTTATATTTTTATTATGCATGTTAGAATCCAGAGAACTGGAAATCATTTACGGTGTTGTAGAACACTAAAAGGTTCAAAACTCTAAGTTCTTTTTAGTTCCTGAAGAAAGTAACTTTAACTTTTTATCGAAAAGTACTTCGGACGCTTGGTGTCGGGGTTTGGCGTAGTCTGTGTATGGGTTATAAACGATGCACAAGCAATTCGTGCGTTATATACATATACGAGGCCTGTTCAAAAAGTATCGCGATTTTGTGTTTTTTCAAAAGTTATTTATTTATCCATGAATATATATTTTGTCCCCTTCAAGGTAATCCCCACCAGATATTATACACCTGTGCTAACGTTTTTTCCAATCCTCGAAGTCATCTTTTGTGATCTTGTTCGGCTCCTCCTTCGATGCCGTCTTTATCTTCTCAATCGTAGCGTAGCGTCGTTCTTTCATGGCCCTCTTCAGTTTCGGGAACATGAAAATGTCACAGGAGGCAAGATCTAGGGAATACGGTGACTGCGGCATTATTGGTGTGTTGTTTTTGCTCAAAAATTCGCGCACAAGCAACGATGTGGAGACAGGTGCGTTGTCATGGCGTAAAAGCCAATTTTTGTTCTTCCACAAATCCGTGAGTTTCTGGCGGATTGCTTCGCGCAAATTGCGCATAACTTATAGGTAATATTCCTTATTGACCATTCTACCTTGTAACTACTGATGATGCAATTCGCCTCTACAATCGAAGAAAACTAAGCAAAATCTTCAGATTCGACATAACTTGGTGCGCTTTTTTCGGTCTTGGCTCGTGCGGTAGCTTACATTCGGATAATTTAGCTTTGATTTTCACGGAGTAACCGTAAACCCATGATTCGTCATCAGTTATGACCCTCCGGAGCAAATTTGGGTCGTCGCGAACAATGTCCAACAGCTCCTTAGCAGTGTGAATGCTATGATGTTTTAGGTCGAATTTGAGCTATTTTGGTACGAATTTCGCGGCGACCCGTCTCATGCTCAAATCATTGGTAAAACTCGAATGGCAGGAGTCAATCGATATGTTTAGGTACTTAGCAATTTTTCTAATTGTGATTCGACGATTAGCTAATACTATTTTGTTCAGTTCATCCATTTTTTCATTCGTTGCTCATGCGGCACGCTCTTCGTCGGTCATATTTTTTCGACCTTCAGTACTACCGCTAAACGTTGCATCGATCTAAAGTAGCTTCACCATATGCCACAGTCAACACTCGGAATGCGTTCGTGCACTTAATTTTGTTTTTCACACCAAAATTTGATACAGATTCTTTGATTATTTTTTTAGAATAGGCAGAAATCGAAGACGAGCCAAGACACGTGCAACCAAAGAAGTTGTTAGAAAACCTAAACGTTTAACAAGACTGAACGGCATATGTGAAAGACATAAGTACCAACATAACGCCATAAAAGAAATCGAAAATCGAATATATGTAACCCCGCGGAAATTCAAAATTCGCGATACAGATTCTTTGATTATTTTTTTGGAATAGGCAAAAATCGAAGACGAGCCAAGACACGTGCAACCAAATCAGTTGTTAAAAAACCTGAACGTTCAACAAGACTGAACTTGTCGGCATATGTGAGAGACATGAGTACCAACATAACGCCATAAAAAAAATCGAAAATCGAATATATGTAGCCCGCGGAAATTTAAAATTCGCGATACTTTTTGAACAGACAGTATTTATGATTTAATGCGTTAGATTACTCTCCTGGAGCGAATTCTCTCTTTACGGTCCTCTGTTTTGAATTTATGTTTCTGGAGTATGACGGTAGGTACATACAAATTTCATACACAGTTATTGTTTATAAATTATTAGGGAATGTTTGGACAGTGGGACAACTGAGCTTGTCATGTGTTCACCAGTAATACTGAAGTAGTATGTGTAAGAAACATAAAAAGCTTGTTTTGCTTCCAAACAAAAGGAAACGTTTATTTTATATAATTTTTTGCGGAAGACATTATTCCTCTTGTTTTTCTTTTATTTATGCTATTTAATAAATCGTTGTATTTTTTCCTTATCCGCCACTTGCCCCACAAAACTGAGCCTACCATGAACAAAATACCAGCACAAACTTTGATGGACTGATAGTAGTTTCATTACTATGTTATTTCAAATTTCCACTACGTTAGTCGTATAGTGATATTCGATTTCGCAGAAAAATTATTATTCAAAAATTCGAGACAACTTTTCTAACATTAATTTACCTTAGTGATTCTATTAGATGGCTGAAAGATGTCACGGTTTTATTTGGCGTTTCCCTTTCAGATCTCTATAACTCAATTTTCCATGAAAAAATACTTGGAAGAGAAAAGTTTTATTGATAGAGAACTTATTCAATAGAATATTAAGTAATGCCATTATTCAACCACCGGTTTATTCAAATGATCCGTTAAATTTGGCGACAACTAGAAATCGTTTACTCCCTCCCAATATTTAAATTTCCTCTTTATCAAGAGACTTTCAAATTAAGTTTGGCAGCTGCTCGAAGAAAATTTAATAAAGTCGGNGTTCGAAATGTGGTGTTATGGGCGGATGATGAGGATAACGTGGGTAGAAAAGGTTAGAAATGAAGAGGTATTGGAAAGAATAGGAGAACAGAGGAGTCTATGGAAGTCTATAAAATATAGGCGAGATAGATTGGTAGGACACCTTCTCAGGCATGAAGGTCTAGTCAGAGACATATTAGAGGCAGAAACAGGAGTTAGGAGGGGTAGAGGTTAGTTATTATTTTATCACCAATAGATTTTTTAGGTAATATAAGGAATTTTATAGGCGAGATAGATTGGTAGGACACCTTCTCAGGTATGAAGGTCTAGTCAGAGACATATTAGAGGCAGAAACAGGAGTTAGTAGGGGTAGAGGTAGACCTAGATTAGATTACCTGCTGTTCGCAAATAGTTGAGGATGTTGGATGTTCTAGTTTTAAGGAAATGCGAAGATTAGCTCAGAATAGGTAGGAGTGACGGTGCGTGTCCAACCAGTCATTGGACTGACGACCTTACAACAAAAAAAGCTTAAAACTTTTGGGTGTTTCATTCCCACTACCCAGTAATGCTGGTAGGCGGGCAGTCCCTCCGGATTATGCCGGAAGGTAGGGCGGAAGGCCCTCTTGCTTTCAGGAATCCTAGGAATAGGTGGGTGGTGGTTCGAGTGAGAAAGATGAGATGGACGAAATGAAGACAGAAGAGAATGAAAGATTATCTGTGGAATATTACTGCCTCAGCATTTGCCTAAGTGGTCTAAGGAAACCACAGAAAAACTTGGACCAAGGCAGACGGACCCGGAATCGAACCGGCGTCCCCCCGAATGTTAAGCAATGGTATAAACCTCTAGGCCATGTCGCTCGGTGGACGACCTTATGACGATGATGAGGTATATACTTATAGCACTTATAAAGATTCTATACAGTTGATTCACTATCCAGCCATGCGTATACTCCCTCTCCTGCCGTCCCTCACTAACTTATTAACGAGTTTCTTGCTAAGCTTGTACAGAGTGTCATCGTAAAGCCACTGTACAAATATATTTTGTATCTAAACACTTCAATGAAGCAACTGAGCGGTCAGCAGCATCAACGTCAAACTTAAAACAGAAAAAATTACCTCACCCATGTCCTAATCGTGTTATATTGTTTATTTTCTTTGAAAACTTTGAGCTCTCATTCCGTTAAGCAGATTTAGGAACCACTGGCTATGCTACCTCAAATAATTGATTTGAGTTTTGTTGTCACAGCATTAAGTTTAACGAGTAAACCTACTTATGATTTCTTTGAAAAGTTATTCGATATAGTGTAATAAATTGTAACCGTGCAAACCGTTCCTTAAGGATTTGTTTTTCGGAGATATTTCCATTTTGAACAAATCTAGGGTGAAAATCATTATTTTATTTAGATTCAGGCAAAAATTGCACGTAAAAATACTGAAATGCATTTAGATAAGATATGAAAATTTTATTATTCATCCTTAGTATTACATTGTATTTATATTAGTATTATTTTATAGTAAATGTTTTATACTACTTAATTACACAATTCAGTGTATAGTACAAATTTATGTTAAATAAAGTTCATGGTTTGTGTGTTACAACATGTGTCTTCGTTGTGTTCTGGGGCCAGGCTAAAGGAGGTCCTGCGGATCTTGTTTAGAGCGTTTTCAGTTTGAAGGATGTCCAATAATCGTAGGTCTAACATAATGCCCAGATATTCTACCGTTGGTAAGAGTGGTAATCTTTCGTTTTTGATACGCACCCATTTTCGTATGTTTGTAAACAGAGTGGCTTCTGCTTTACTAACATTGCATTCTGGTCCCAATATTTCGTAGTAGTCAACCAGGTCTCTCACTGCCCATTCCGCCCTGACGAGTGCTTGCTCTTGTCTCCGAGCACGATTTATAATAGAGAGATCATCTACATATTGTGAGAAGTTGGTGCTGTTAATGTGGCTGTTGGGTAAATCTGTCATATTAAGATTCCATAGGACTGGCCCCAAACTAAAACCTTGTGGTACACGGTGCATGCCTTTCATAGAAGAGCCTAGTGTTTAGGTAATTGGTAGAAACTGTTCTTTCTAGGAAATAATTTTCTATTGTTCTAAATGGTAATTTCTCAATTTTCAAAATCCGAGGGATGTGATCGGTCCAACTTCTTCCGCTGATTTGGCCTCGACTTTCAAGTTACAAAGGAAAGAAAAAATTGCAAAGTTGATAGTATTTGTCTAGTATCCAGGACGTGATGGTAACTCATGAGTAAAGGGGGAGAGATGGTTGGTTGCTAAAGATTTTTCATTTGATTTACGTTGGGATGCATGGTGGTCACCCCAACTTCGGTTATGGGCATTGAGATCTCCGATAGTGAGGGCAAGCAGAAGTTCCACTTGTTGCTTTGTGAGTTTTTCAATTTTATTTGGTACACAAATTGCAGCCACTCACAATATAGCGTTATTGGTCAGGTTGACGCGAATTCTGTAACCTTCTATTTTGTGTTCGTTATCATCAGCCTGTAGAAGACACTCTTGGACTAGAGTAAGTTGTTCATTGATGTAGATTCGAATGCCTAAGTAGAATGCTAGGGTATCCTGTAAGTATCTTAAGTATCCCCGAATGTTGCCCTTACTGGTGGCTATTTGCTGTTTTTCATATGTTTACTTTATCTGATAAAAAAATCCGAAACATAGACTTATACGTATACTATAAGTTATACAATGAAGGCGGTTACCTTTTGTATACCTTGAAATAGTTCAAACAGTGCACCTTAAGACCTGGGCCAGGGTACACTGGCAGGTATTTCAAGCGTACGAATAATACTACCGAAACCTCAACCATTTCACCCCAGGTCAAGTAAAGTTCTCTCCAAAAGCACCAGACAGAAACGGAGGCTAAATTAGCAGGAACTATAGAAGATGTATAGTATGCTGTAGAAGCAAGAAATTGAAAAGTTGCTAGGAGATCTATCATCATCATAAAGTCGTCAGACTTATGACTGGTTGGACATGCACCTCCACTTTTTCTGAGTCAATCCTCGCTTTTCCTTAAAACTAAATCATCCCATATCCTTAACTATTTATGAATAGTAATCCAATGTAGGTCTACCTCTACCTGTCTTAACTCCTGTTTCTGTTATCAATATGTCTCTAACTAGCCCTTCAGGCCTGAGAAATTATCCTATCCAACCTATATCGCCTACTTCATATTGACATCCATGTTGCTTCTGTTGTCCTATTTTTTCTAATATCTCTTCATATATAACCTTCTCTATCAACAGTATCTTCATCATTCACCTGTAACACCACATTTCAAACGCTTTTATCTTTTTTTTGCCGCAACCATCGTCCATGTTTTGCACCCACCCCACAAACACACCAATAATCTTTTTCTAATTTATAATTAACCGTTCGCGAGCATAAAAGTGACTTCCTTTTGTTAGAGGCGACTCGATCCTACGCTATCCTTCGTTTTATGTCCCTACTGCTCCTTTCGTTCTGAGTTATCTCACTTTCTAGATATCAAAAATTATTCGTTTCTTCTAGTTTTTCACCTTTCTACCTTTTCTTCCCTTGCATACCAATATCATATTTATCTATTAAAAAATATAAAATTTAAAATAATGTTCAGCATAAAAGAAAAACGAAAATAAAAATTTTCAGCACTAGGTACACATATATCCCCTGTCATTTTTTAGAGATGTGCGTATTTCATTAATTTTATATATACATTATTTATATTAAGGTATGATATGTGTTTTGACACAATATTTGTGCACTGTATCATATGTTGCCATGTTTGCTCTAATAGGTGCGCCCAATAAAGAAATATCTTCGTTAAAAAAAAGTTTATCTAAAATTACAATTTAGTTAACCCTCCATCTATGAGTGTATTTACCTTTAAGGTTAGAACATCTTAAGGCGATAGAATGAAGTTCATGCTTTTATGTTTTTTTAACCGTTTTATAACTCAGAAGCTCAGAAGAAATAATTCTGTTTGTAATTTTTTGCTTCCTTTCATTTCATCTTGTACTTATTGAAAACTTCCCATGTACTGCCGAAATGTGTCGCTGCGAGCTACATCCTATTCAATCTAGCGCCGGCGGTGTAAATCCGCTTCTTTGCAGCCTAGGGGTTCGTTTTATGTGAGCGAAGGGCAAACACACATATTGTATAGGCAAGCAACCATCTACTTCAGTGGCGGATATTTTATTTCTTGGAAAAATTATACCCTACACTTTTTCAAAGTATTTAAAGTTTTGGAAAAAATTAGTTCGTAACGTATAGATGAAGGAAGGTATCTAAAAGAGGTGTTTTCCTTTTTATGTTGTCATCATCATCATAAGGTCGTCAGCCCTAAAACTGGTTGGATACGTACCTCCACTCTTTTCTATCCTGAGGTAATCTTCGCATTTCCCTAAAACTAGAACATCCCACATCCTCAACTATTTGCGAACAGTAATCTAATCTAGGCCTCTACTCCTCTTAACTCTTGTACTTTTTCCAATACCTCTTCATTTCCATTTTTCTCTATCCACGGTATCCCCACCGGTTACACCATATTTCGTGCGCTTCTAACCTTTCCTTTTCCGCCGCGACCACTGTACATGTTTCGCACGCATACAGCGCCGTGCTCCAAACATACACCTTTAACAATCTTTTTCGAATTTCTGAATTTATAATTCGCGAGCATAGAAGGCGACTCAACCCTGCGCTATCCTCTGCTTTATATCGCTATTACATCTTCCGTCTTGTTATCATTTCGCGGAAATTGTAAAAATGTCCAACATGATCGTAACAGCGTTTTTTCAAAGCAGTCTATTTGTATACGAATTATTTTTCTACAATCCTGTAACCATGAACCTACCTTAAAATCCAATTACTACCTCAAAAATGGGTTGCATTGTACTACAGATGGCGTTTACTGCGCCATTTGTAGTATTTTCTAAAACATATTACTTCCTTTATGCTCGCACAGCTGAGGACCCAACACTCCCGGTTCGAACTTCGAGACAGCAACATCTACTACAGCAGCGGTCGACAACAACTACTCGATACTAGAGCCCTTCAGCGACAAAAAAAAATCTTTTTTAAGACTAAGCGACCATGGAGTTAGGCAAAGGTTTCGAAATCCCGAAGAAGACGACAAAGTTGACCTACGATCAGAGAACAGCCACGAAGAAGATAACAACGTCGAATAGCTTCGAAGTTCTACATTGCGAGTCAACGGACCAACCCAAAATCCCACCAGTGATCATACACTATAACGAAGACTGGAACCAAATACGTAAGAAGCTGCAACTAAACAACGTAAAGTTCGATCACTTCACGAGCACCAAAAATGGAGTTAGGATACAACCTTGCACCGAAGAAGACCACAGCAGGCTGACAGCTTTGTTGGACAAAATTGACTGCTACTATTACACCTATACATGCGACCGTAAACGACCGATAAAATACGTCATCAAGGGTATTCCCACCTCGCTGTCATGCGACGACGTCTCGAACGACCTCGAGGGAAAAGGGATAAGCGATACAACCGTCCATAGGATGAAGAGCCGGTCCAAAGAGATTCCCCTGGTTTTAATTTTCGCGCCCAAAAAATGGAGGACAAAGTCAAGGGCATCAAGACATGTTGCCACCTACGTGTTTCAATTGAGATGTACCGCCAACTGCGACGACCCACGCAATGCCATCGCTGCCAGCGCATTGGACATGTCCAAAGGAACTGCAAGATGGCCCCACGATGCGTAAAATGTGCAGACCTTCACCATTCTTCCCAGTGCACGAAGCCGAGGGAGGAACCAGCAAAGTGCCGCAACTGCGAAGGGCCACACCCCGCTAGCTACCGGGGTTGCAAAGCCTTCACGACGAAGACACCAAAGACACCAAAGCAAATCAACACAACCAAGGCCACCGCGTCTATCGTTCGACAAGCGATCTCATATGCGAAAGCGACAGCGGGAAAGCCAAGAACAGAAAACCCTTCAACTTCAACAGAGACAACAACAATATTTGACAAAATCGACCTGACTACGTTCAAGACTGCAATAATCAACCTCGCCAACCAACTCAAAGGAGCCACAACTCCAGGCGAAATACTCCTGTACCTGTTGGGCAACGTCCACATCTTACTAAAAATACTCCACAAATAATATGAACAACACCTTACGGCTGAACGGCCTGAGGGGGAGAGGTTTTAGTCGGTAGGCGTCATCCGGGATGAATCCGACATTACCCGGTCGCGCGGGCGGCCGGGTGTCTTTTGAAGATTTCCTCTCCTCCACGAAAACAAAAAAAAAAAAAAGAGGACCCAAATCAACAGTAACAGTTAGTTACTTAGGCTGTAAACAGAAGTAGACTATTAAATTCCAAATGTGGATCGCAATTTCAAACTTATTAGTTCTTGTCGCCACATCTTACGTGGTTTCGACAAATCACTGAAAAAAAAAACTTTTGGGTGTTTTATTCCCACCAGCCAGTAATTCTCGTGGGCAGGCAGTCCCTCCGGATCATGTCAGAAGGTAGGGCGAAAGGCCCTCTTCAGTCTCCTTTTAGGAATCGTAGGAATTGGTTGGTGGTAGTTCGGATGAGAAAGATGAGACGGACGAAATGAAGACAGAAGAGAATGGAAAATTATCTGTAGAATATTACTGTCCCATCATTTGCCCAAGTCATCCAAGAAAACCACAGAAAAACTTGGACCAAGGCGGACGTACCCGGAATCGAACCGGCGTTCTCCCGAATACTAATCGATAGGCTAAACCTCTAGGCTATACCGCTCGGTCAAATCACTGACCAAGTCGAAGTTACTTCATTCAGGAAAGGTGATTAATATCATGTTTCTGACAGTATATCGCCATCTATGAATATTCACTATAAGGATAAGGGTAAGCAACCTGAATCTTCGAAGCAGATTATGTACTTGATTAGATACGTAAACTATTAAAGCTAATTAAAAAATTAACTTTAAAACCTGACGACATTCTTTTAGATCTAAGTTGATCTTATTCAAGAATAATCTGCAAGATTGTAACTAAGATAAAAACTAGATGTGGGGAAAATATTACTGATGTTTCTTTTCGACATCCATGGAGAGGGAAGGTATGAGGAATTACAGTATTCTGTTCATCTTTAGGCTTGAACTGATGACACTGCGTTGAAATTGTTATTGAAAATACATTACCCAAATAATTTTAATTGATTAATTTTCTCTTTTATCTGATTCCCAATCGCTACGTTTGTTTGTCATACGAGTTTGGTTTACAAAATCCGATTATTTTTCCTTTTAGATGAAGTTCTTTGTTGTCAGTCAAAAGCAGCTTGAGCAATATTGGTTTGCTGAGGTAAACTCGCGGGAAGTTCTTGTTTCTACCGAAATATTCATTACCGGTTTCAAAAATCAATATTAACTTATAATTATTATCTAATTGCAAAGTAGTAAACTACAACCATCAAGTCCACTGGTAATTTTTTGAAACAGAGAACTTCGTCTGCATCTCTTCGGAAAGCTCTTAATGAAAAACGAACAGTTGATCATGAACCATTAAAGTTAATGAAATTATGTTTTCTTTGGTCATACAGAATGTAGGTGCTATTTTCATGTCAATAGACGTTCATACATTTATTGTTACGAAGTAAATTGTTTAGATTTTTTGTTAATTATTTACTTATTTTAATTATCTGATTATAATATGTTTTATTATTTTGTCGTGACTGGGCTTAAGCTATTAAAATAATAAGGAAGGCTTGGAAAACAATAACAACTTTATTATGTAGTAAAGTAAAATATACACGAAATTCAAAAAAATACAAATTACAAATGGATTTAGAGTTAGTTGTCAAGTAATTTAGATATATAATATTACAAATGAAAATTGAATAAAAACGTTGACAAAAAGGATCTTCCTCTCAATGTTAAAAATTAACAAAATTACTTATGCTGATAGGAGCGTTGCAATCATTAACCGAGCAGGTTGGCTTAGAGGTTTAGATCATTGCTTCACATTCGGGAAGTAGCCGGTTTCCGGGTCTGTCTGCCTTGGTCCAAGTATTTGTGTAATTTCCTTGGATCACTTAGATAAATGCTAGAGCAGTAATATTCCACAGATAACCTTTCAATCACTTCTGTCATAATTTCGTCCGTCTCATCCTTCTCACCCGAACCACCACCCACCCATTCCCACGATTCCTGAAAGCAGGCTGAAGAGGGCCTTCCGCCCTACCTTCCGGCATAGTCCGGAGGGACTGCCCGCCCACCAGCGTTAGTGGCTGGTGTGAATGAAATACCTAAACGTTTTTCTTTTAGTGTTTATAATCATCTTGACCTGGAGGTAGTGCCACTAACACTTTGGTTTCTTACCGGTTATCCGTTAAGAGTAGAATTTTTTCATTAACTTATCCCGAATCGACTGACTGCGATGGATCAGTGATTTTTGCACATAGTCCAACATAGGTCATTCACTGGTTCTAGAACTTTTTTTTTTTTGGCTGATTAAGTGAAAACTAATGAATTGTCCGATACTAGCTAGGTTGAAAACCTTCTTTGTCTTTTTTGATGATTTCGCAAAGTTCTAAAACTTTCACAGTAACGAAAGCTATCGAACTTAATTTCTGCTTCTACATAGGTAATTCGTTGATGAAAATCTTTTCGCTTACTGTTTCGTTGCGGTGGAATGACAAATACGCTGATTTTGCAAGTAAATGAACTCGATATCTGTTTTGTGAATTTTGAAAGAATTGCAACTTTGCAACTACGAAATATTTAATTAATTTTGAAATATGTTTTAAAGTAGAAAATATTACATATTATAGTTTTTGAGTTTCCTTAAACTCCACTGCGTAACAGTATCTCCCCATTCTTATTGTCATTGATAATTTGTGTGCCCGTGTTTCTTCAAAAAAAGTGATAACATTTATCTGGAAATAAAAATAACATTATATTTACGTGCTGCCATTGACACACACACACATACATACCTATTCTTGTGTGTTTATTGATCAGTGGTCCAATATTTCGCGTCCCTGTTGTAACTATAATAATAACTAGGACGTGAAAATAATATTACCAGACCATATCGGTTGATTTATTTAGGTAGGAAAACCCATATCGTTTTTAGTGAGTTTATTACTTTACTAAGTGGTCGGAAGGTTATAAAAGAACTAATTGATCATAGCGTCTAATGTTCACAGAAATATAACTTTTCTGAAGTACCTTATTTAAGTGTTATTCTCGTCGATTTCGATAATCGCTTTCTGTAGGTAATTGACAGTAGGTACTGTAAAAAGCAGTTAATTTTTCCTCATAAGTAGGTATACAGAAGGATGATTTATAGAGTGCAATACTTACTACATTATTAACATAATCATTAAGTGATAACCGAGAAGGTTCAGAAGCAAAATCTTAGTCTGACGCGAATGAGTCCAAAACGCATGGTAAGGAAAAAAAATAAAAAACGCAAGGGTCGCTGTTGGCCACTGCGCAATTAGCTACTGCACCTTTTCGGTATTATCAGTTGTCAAACACAAAAACAACAATTACTTTTTTTGTACTACAATTTTTCAAAATCAGTTGTACGCATGCGATCTTGTGGCGGATTAATTGATTTTTGAATCCTATTTAAAAAAAACAAAATAATATTCCTTTTATTCGTTAAGAATAGATTTGCTTATCATAATTGAACCTATTTTATTATATTGGCAATTTTCATAATTTCAAATGCATACAAGATAGTCAAATATTTCTTGAATGTTCTTTTACAAACAATAATAGGCCCATTAAGTCCCAATGGTCAGGTTCCGCAAAGGTCTTCGACGGCAACCATCTTTATTAATTTTATTATTGATGCTCTTTAATTGTATGCAGGTTACAGGAATTTCTTAGCTCGAAGTAGAGTCATGCCTTGTTGGGTTTTCCCTGTTATTGACTTCTGGTTCGTATTCTTTTGTTGCATTCCATGTATTGGTGGTGACAACAGAACAATTTTTGTTTTTGTCACATGATTTAGAGTGAGTACCTGTAGTTTTAATCCGTTATTCCATAGTTAATGAAGTCTGTATAAAGTGTTTATATTGAGTTTCATTCGCTCATGAATTTATTTGTTACATTTCTTTAGTTTAAATGAGGGGAATTCCTAAAAAAAGGCATTTGTTCGCAACTATTAAGCACTAGTTAACATGAATGCTCGAACAGTAGCCATCGAAATTTCAATCCCGAGTCGCCTTCTTAAACTGTGTCGAATGTGTGAAATTATAGAGCAAACGTCACATCAAGATCATTAAAGAAATACCGGTTTAGTACTAATTTCCGTAAAAATGAGGAATTTACTCAAAAAGCGATTTACTAATGAATGCTTACTTGTAGTCCAAGACATTATTCTACGTATAAACTTGAGCAATGAAAAATAACTTCTGATTGAATTTGTTCCTAAGGAAATTTAATAAAATTTTAGAAGGAAGGTCTGGAGATGCTTTCAGTACGCCGAGACTCTTGTATCCGAAAAATCGTTATGGTCAGTTTCACCCCTTTAATATCTTGAGCAGTTGCATAGTTGAGGACGCCCAAAACTGTTTTGTCAGAAACGTCGAGTTACCTTTGCCATCTAGTTATTTCCAGGTTAAAGAGAAAGCTCTCCCGAAAATTATCCTAAGCAATAAATTTCAACTACTTGAAAGTATTTTACTCTGGCAATTTCACATCATCAAAAATACAAACCTATTTAGTGTATAGTTTTATTTTACGAATGTTTTTATTCTGATTTACTTATCGATCATTCATCATCATTAGATCGTCAGTCCTAAGACTGGTTGGACACGTATCTCCACTCTTTCCTATCCTGAGCTAAACTTCACATTCCCCTAAAACTAGAACCACCCACATCCTTAACTATTTGCGAACAGTAATCTAATCTAGGTCTACCTCTAACCCTCTTAATTTCTGTTTCTGTCTCTAATATGTCTCTGACTAGACCTTCATGCCTGAGAAGGTGTCCTACCAACCTATCTCGCTTATTGACGTGACGTCTTATAATTCGATGGAGCCGGCTGCCGGCGTTCACCATTTAAGGCTTGAAGTGCAAGCGAGAGCGCGGAACGAGCGACAAAGAGGCACAATCGGCCTCCGCGTTCGGCAGCGTTCGACGTCTGTCTCTCTCCT